CAAAATTTCCCGCAGTTGAGAACTACTGACCTTGACTTAGGAAGACTCCTCAGACATTTTATAACTGAGACAGTAACATTAGCTTAATTTAGGGTGAAGCCAGGCTCATCCAGTTATTACCTAGAAGAAGATATTTCCAACATGTCTTTCATGAGGTGTTAGTGGATGCTTAGGTGGTCAAATGTGTTACTATGTTCTTTTCCACTCCTGGGGATTTTCAATTAGCAATTTATTTAACAAACATTTATATTACAGTTACTTTGAGTAACTTTACAAATTTTAGCTTATTAATCTTTATAACAACCCTATAAGATAGGTATTATTATTACTATCCTAATTTTACAGATGAGTAAATTGAGGCACAGAAAGATTAAGGAATTTTTCCAGGGGCTAGCAAATCATAGAGCAGGGTTACAAACATAGGCAATCAGGCTCCAACATCTTATATTCTTTGTCACTATGCTCTCAGCTATCTAATTTAACATGTGACATATGCTAATATTTAGAATTAGCATTTTAAAGGCTCTGAGATGTTCTGATTTAATACATTTAGCCAATTTGGAGATCTAGTTTTTCTTTTCCAAATTTGATGATGGCAACACTTGAGTCCTTGTTCAACTCAGACCATGAACACTTCCTCATATTCATGCAGGTCACATAATTTCACAGCAGTTGGTCATTTTGTTGTTGTTATTGTTCCTCATTTTGGAAGAGGGAAGCAGGTGTCTTGCTTGTGCTGAATGTAATACTAATGACACCAACAAAGGAGAGTCCCCTGGGCCAGCTTTATTTAGGGGTAAGCTCTTAAATCAAATAATGAAATATAATTTGTTAAAGAATGAAAACTGATGACCTGGTAGGTGGCTTTATCTTTCCACTGCTGAGTGAGTCTGCTGTGTTCAATTTCCATTCCTGTATCACAATCCTCAAAGCCCATGGGAAAGAGGAAAGACTTAACCCAATGTAAAGGTGGGAAAACAAGCACTAAAGTCATACAGAAAAATTCCAGCATCCTTGACTTTAATTTTTAGGGGGACTTTTCCATCCTGAGCATTTACCATATGGTTTATCTTTTTTTTTTTTTTTTCTACAAATACACTTGTCAACTTTTGTATCTATTCATCTGGGCCCTAGGTAAGAAATTAAAATTAAAAGCTTGTTCTCTAAATGGATTTCTAAGTGCTATTACAAAGTATGGCAGGTTTAACAAACAAGTTCAATAAAAGCAGTCTCAAATTTGCTTCAATAAATTAAGAGGTTGCTCATACCCTCAGCTAGATAGCAGTTGTCCTCTCTTTATCTTTTAGGTTATACCATTGCTTCATATGTGTTGATAAAGATTTTAATATATACATTTTGAACACTAGCCTTTTAAATCAAAATGCTCCATCAAAACCCTTTCTCCCTGGATTACAAAGAGATGCTCTTATTTCACTGACAATCTATATTTCTAGTACTTGCTTATATTTTATTTCATTGCCAATTAGGATTTCTCAATCCTACCTAGTAAATACCTACATAACAGTGCATCTATTCAAACTCTGAGGAAAATGTAGATGCCATTCAGATGTGAAAACTTATTACAAGATTGAAATACATTTCTAATGCATTTATCATTCATTTTTGTAGCATGTGATTTAAATCAGAAAAAAAAAAAAGATGAATGGTTTGACAGTTTCCACTCATATACACCAAACGTAATACACTTCGACTAGTTTTTGGCTATTATGGACCTTAACATGCAATGTGACCTTGGTCTGGAAAAGCATGTTTGGTTTGCACAGAAGCTTAATCGTAAGAAGTCATAAGTAGAAATCTTCTTCTTTACTGCCCTTTTCTAGGACTAGGAAATTTATTGCTTGTGGGACAGGTAAGATATGAACAATGGGCCAAATACAGTCCAGGGTTATCTCATCCGTGTGAAAACTGCTGCTGAAAATCGATGTGACCTCTGCTACACTGTCATCCCAATTCCCACCCTCTGTGTCCTATTTGTCTTTTGGTAGAAGCTTAGATCTGTGTGCTGTCTCTATGTGTCTCTCTTGGGCCAGATTATCAAAATGAATCATTGCCTGCATACCTCTTATATTTCTATTTATTTGCCTGGTGTTGACTAGGTCTGTTGAAATATGATTCTTCTTGCATTTGATCCTCACTGCAGCAAGCAGCACCTAATTCAGCTGTGTCTATCTCTTTAAAGAAGACTAATACGATTTTGAAACTTGTCTTCTATATAGCAACATTACAAACCATAGACCATACAGCCTGTCTTCATAGCCAATAGTAATCTTACTTTCAGCCAATTTAATGACATTTCTTTCATCTCCAAATAGAAGACTTCTGATGATTTTAATGTAGTTCTAATTTTATTTTATGCATACCTAACATATTGCTTTCATTTTCAGGTATTTTGTTTGTAGAATACCCTGATCACTGAGGTTACATGTGTGTGTAGAGTAATACATGACAAAGAATCCATAATTTTAAGAAGTCTCCCATGATGCAAAATATTTATTCAAGAGAATCATTATATTATCTCAGAATCAGCAAGAAGTCAATGTTCTAACTTTGTGGTGGTTTATTTTGTAAAAATAGATCTTCCAGGCTACATAAATTCATCTTTAAGATTTATAAACATCAATATAAAGATGTTGAACCTCCTCAATTATTATTAATATTGATAGATCATAATGAAGTCATTCTACATATCCACTTAATGCACTCATGTGCAGAAGACAAAATACTAGCTAAATACAGACTTCAAGTAACACAAATAAAGCAAAATATTGCTGTTGAGAAATATCCCTTAGAGACATTAGAGCTGCTGCCTAAGACATATTTTAGAACTTATATTTTTAATGAGATATTTCCAATGTTCAAACCTTGCACTTGAAATAGATCACAGAACATGTGCTCATTCCCTCTGGAATACTTTGCCTCTTCCAAAACTACTACTGACAAAGAAGGAAGGGAAGGAAGGAGGGAGGGAGGGAGGAAGGAAGGAAGGGAGGAAGGAAGGAAGGAAGGAAGGAAGGAAGGAAGGAAGACATGTTCTATAAGAGGTTAGGGTTAATTTTACAAGCAAGTTGCATTTATGATCAAAATATTATTTGTAAGTTTTACTAAAAAACAATTCCTGGGAATATGTTCATTATAGTTTCCTGTGCTAAAAGAAAATTAGCAGCATATTTTTTGCATACTGTTGAATTCTTTAAAACTGATAAGCAAATACATTTTGTATTCAAATAATGTGAAACTGTTGATTCGCTAAAATAATCATTAACATTTTTATCCCTATAGGTTTTAGAAAATTAGAAACTGTAAAGGTGATCTATATCAAGAGTATTTTATTCAGAGATAATGCTATCCCATTAAGTAATCCCACAGAAGTTCCAGCAATTGTATGCCACAGCTTCCCACACAAGAAATCCCACAGCAAACCATGATGACTGTGAAATCAATAGGGTTCAAGACTCTGCTCACTAAACATATAGGCTGCTTGCAATTGAAAAATGAGTTCTAACTGTATGACAAATCCATATTCCTATCCCTACAAAGACCAGACCAATAGCTAGATTTTTGTTTTCAAACCATGTGAAAATTGGTTAGGTCTAGATTCAAGCCTAAATTTTTCCTGAATGAGTCTCAAAATATATGGGGTCACTGAAAATTTTTATGACCAGAGAGATACATATTTTCAAACATTGCTTGTGCTCAGTTACTGGTGAGTAGAGTAATTTTGTTTGAGGTGCTGTGATCAACTCATTGTGCACTGCTATTGAAGCCATTTAAGAATGCCAGGGTTTGTTTGGCTACATTCCAAGATTATCTCTGTAGCAGTTTATCTTTACATATATCAAAAAGGCCCCAATTCCTAATTGCAGAGGAAACTTTGTTATCTGGTTCATACATCTCACAAAGATTTTCAACCAGAATTCAAGTATATAGCCAAGTAGTTAGCTTCTCAAAGTAAGAGGAGATTCCTTTTGTAATTAGATGTATCTGTGTAAAACAAATCTGAGATATCTTATTAGACAAAAATTCTATTGGTGTCTCTTCATATGAAGCTAAGAGGGAATCTCAAGAAAGTAATTAGTGTGTGGGAGAAGTTAATATAAAAATATAAGGGGAGATAATATACACTGTCATTTTACACATAGATGGTTATTTTTTTCATACGAAATATTCTTCAAAATAAAAGGTAACACTGGAAACAACCCAGATGCCAAACTAATGAATGATTAAACAGACAGTCATGTATCCATGCAATAGAAAACTTTTCAGCAATAAAAAGGAAAAAGAAACACTGATACATGCCACAACATGGATGAACCTCAAAAACATTATGCTAATTGAAAGAAGACAAACACAAGAGATCACTTACGATATGATTCTATTTATGTTAATAACCAGAAAAGGCAATCCCATAGAGACAAACAGTAGATTAGTGGTTGCCAGGAGCTGGGAATGGGAAAGGAGATTAATTGTAAATGGGCATGAGGGATATTTTGGGGGTGATTGAGGTGTTCTAAAATAGTTTTTTGGTAATGGTTGTACGATTCTGTAAATTTACTAAAACTCATCGATGTACATAATTAAAATAGATGAGTTTTATTATATGTAAATTATACTTCAATAAAGGTGTTAAAATATGGAGATGATAGATATAGATAGATAGATGTAAAGAGAAAAACTAAAAAGCAATTAGTGTTTTACCAGGAAGTGATCTGATTAATTTATAGATATTAATAAGCATGTCAAATTTGTTTCTCCAAATTTTATGACAATTAGCAGTAAATGTTGGTTCATTTTCACTGATTCTTTACTGAAACATTTATTTTGAGAAATGAGAGGCAGCTGGGAAATAGGTATGAATTCCAGTTATGAGTTTTCCATCATTTAGCTTTAGAAACAAAATTTTTATAGAGATAAAGGAAACATAGTGAACATGTTGAGCTGTTAGTTTATGAACCTTCTGATATTAATTTTGTTTCTTGCAGAAGAGGTACCCGTTCAAATTCCAATGATGAAGTCACCCCTGGACAAGATCCAACTGATTCCTGGGCAGGCATTGTCTCCTGGATTCCCTGGACCAATCATTTTTGCTGATAGTCTGTCCTCTGTGGAGACTCTGTTGACCAACATTCAGGTCAACAATATTTCTATAAACAAAATAAATGTAATACAAGACATTAGCACCTACATAAATTATTTCGTATTTGAGAAATTAAAACAGATAAGATTAACTGCATGTCATTTGCTGTATTTTGACAGGGTCTACTGAAAGTGGCTTTGGATAATGCTCACATCCAAGAGAAGCAGACTCAACAAGAAAAAAAGGAACTGCGAATGGAGCTCTATAGAGAGAGAGAAATTAGAGAAAACCTTGAAAGACAACTCGCAGTTGAGCTTCAAAGCAGAAGTAAGTTTAACAAGTTCAATATAAGTGAATAAGGTAAGATCGTGTTGGAGATATTTTTAGTAGTAATAGAAATGTTCTCAGGGATAGCCAGGAACTGCTGAAAACAAATGACAAGCTAAGAATCAAATACTGTGTGCAATCCACAAGGTAAGATGTTTACACTATTTCTCTTTGTAATTAAACATAATAAGCAAGATCTACACTTCATTTCTGGAAACATGAATATTCTTAGTTCTCTCAAAATTTCACAAAATACTCCTGTATATATATATATATATATATATATATATATATATTCGAACAATTTCTTATGTATTAAATGCTTACTCTTTGCCAAGAACAATGTTAGATTCTGGTGTTAGAAGATAAAACTCAGTCCCTGTCCTTGAAAAGATTTACATTTCAGAAGACTAGCACAAACAACCAGCTAATTATAAGACAAAGTGGAAAGAACAATGATGTACATTATATATGTTTATATAGAGAGGGGGTAGTAAGCTCAGCTTTGTGGTGTGGGGAATTGATGGTCAAAGAAGGTTTTCTGATGCTGACACTTGAACCTGAGTCTTGAAGAATCAGTAAGGCAAGAAAAGCCTGAGAGTAAATGAGTGATCCGATCATTCTAGAACAATGAACATAGGCATGGAGGCAAGAAGCCTCAAACATGGTCAAATATATACAGTGTATTAATACCATGACTTTGAGTTTTATGAAGTGAATGTTGGGGAATAATGCATAACAAAAGTAGAGGGTAAATTATAAAGGCCATTTTCTTTTTTTAACATCTTTCTTTTAGAATAATTGCTTAATGATGGTGTTTAGTTTATGTTTATAACAAAGTGAATAAGCTATACATATGCATATATCCCCATATCTCCTCCCTCTTGCATCTTCCTACCACCCTCCCTATCCCACCCCTCTAGGTGGTCACAAAGCACCAAGCTGATTTCCTTGTGCTATGCAGCTTCTTCCCACTAGCTACCTATTTTACTTTTGGTAGTATATATGTCAGTGCCACTCTCTCACTTCGTCCCAGCTTACACTTCCCCCTCTCTGTGTCCTCAAGTCCATTCTCTACGTCTGTGTCTGTATTCCAGTCCTGCACCTAGGTTCTTCAGAACGTTTTTTTTTTAGACTCCATATATATGTGTTAGCATATGGTATTTGTTTTTCTCTTTCTGACTTACTTCACTCTGTATGACAGACTCTAGGTCCATCCGCCTCACTACAAATAACTCAATTTTGTTTCTTTTTATGGCAGAGTAATATTCCATTGTATATATGTGCCACACCTTCTTTATCCACTCATCTGTCAATGGACACTTAAGTTGCTTCCATGTCCTGGCTATTGTAAATAGAACTGCAATGAACATAGTGGTACATGATTCTTTTTAAATTATGGTTTTCTCAGGGTATATGCCCAGTAGTGGGATTGCTGGGTGGTATGGTAATTCTATTTTTAGTATTTTAAGAAACTTCCAGGGCTTCCCTGGTGGCGCAGTGCTTGAGAGTCCGCCTGCCGATGCAGGAGACGCGGGTTCGTGCCCCGTGTCGGGAAGATCCCACATGCCGCGGAGCGGCGGGGCCCGTGAGCCATGGCCGCTGAGCCTGCGCGTCCGGAGCCTGTGCTCCGCAAATGGGAGAGGCCACAACAGTGAGAGGCCCGCATAACGCAAGAAAAAAAAAAAAAAAAAAAAAAAAAGAAACTTCCATACTGTTCTCCATAGTGGCTATATCAATTTACATTCCCACCAACAATGCAAGAGGGTTCCCTTTTCTTCGCACCCTCTCCAGCACTTATTTTTTGTAGATTTTTTGATGATGGCCATTCTTATTGGTGTGAGGTGATACCTCATTATAGTTTTGATTTGCATTTCTCTAATGATTAGTGATGCTGAACATCCTTTCCTGTGTTTGTTGGAAATCTGTATATCTTTGGAGAAATGTCTATTTAGGTCTTCTGCCCATTTTTGGATTGGGTTGTTTGTTTTTCTGATATTGAGCTGCATGAGCTGCTTGTAAATTTTGGAGATTAATCCTTTGTCAGTTGCATCTTTTTCAAATATTTTCTCCATTCTGAGGGTTGTCTTTTCATCTTGTTTATGGTTTCCTTTGCTGTGAAAAAGCTTGGAAGTTTTGTGAGGTCCAATTTCTTTATTTTTGTTTTTATTTTTGTCTCTCTAGGGGGTGGGTCAAAAAGGATCTTTCTGTGATTTATGTCATAGAGTGTTCTGCCTATGTTTTCCCCTAAGAGTTTTACAGTGTCTGGCCTTGCATTTAGGTCTTCAATCATTTTGAGTTTCTTTTTGCGTACAGTGTTAGGGAGTGTTCTAATTTCATTCTTTTACATGTAGCTGTCCAGTTTTCCCAGGACAACTTATTGAAGAGGTTCTCTTTTCTCCATTGTATATTTTGCCTCCTTTATCAAAAATAAGGTGACCATATGTGCGTGGATTTATGTCTGGGCTTTCTATCTTGTTCCATTGGTCTATATTTCTGTTTTTGAGCCAGTACCATAATGTCTTGATTACTGTAGCTTTGTAGTATAGTCTGAAGTCAAGGAGCCTGATTACTCCAGCACCATTTTTTTTCTCAAGATTGCTTTCGCTATTCAGCGTCTTTTGTGTTTCCATACAGATTGTGAATTTTTTCGTTCTAGTTTTTAAAAATGCCATTAGTAGCTTGACAGGGATTGCATTGAATCTGTAGATTACTTTGGGTAGTAGAGTCATTTTCACAATGTTGATTCTTCCAATACAAGAAAATGGTATATCTCTCTATCAGTTTGTATCATCTTTAATTTCTTGCATAAGTCTCTTATAGTTTTCCTCATACAGGTTTTCATCTCCTTAGGTAGCTTTATTTCTAGGTATTTTATTCTTTTTGTTGCAGTATTAAATGGGAGTGTTTCCTTAATTTCTCTTTCAGATTTTTCATCATTAGTGTATAGGAATGCAAGAGATATCTGTGCATTAATTTTGTATCCTGCTACTTTACTAAATTCACTGATTACCTCTAGTAGTTTTCAGGTAGCCTCTTTAAGATTCTCTATGTATAATATCATATCATCTGCAAGCAGTGACAGTTTTACTTATTTTCCAATTTGGATTCCTTTCATCTCTGTTTCTTCTATGATTGCTGTTACTAAAACTTCAAAAAGTATGTTGAATAACAGTGGTGAGAGTGGGAAACCTTGTCTTGTTCCTGATCTTAGTGGGAATAGTTTCAGTTTTTCACCATTTAGAACGATGTTGGCTGTGGGTTTGTCAACTATGGCCATTATTACGTTGAGGTAAATTCCCTCCATGCCTACTTTCTGGAGGGTTTTTATCATAAAAGGGTGCTGGATTTTGTTGAAAGCTTTTTCTGCATCTATTGAGATGATCATGTGGTTTTTATCCTTCAATTTGTTACAATCAATCACATTGATTAATGTGCATATATTGATGAATCCTTGCATTCCTGGGATAAACACCCCCTTGATCATGGTGTATGATCCTTTTAATGTGCTGTTGGATTCTATTTGCTAGTATTTTGTTAAGGATTTTTTCATCTATATTCATCAGTGATATTGGCCTGTAGTTTTCTTTCTTTGTGACATCTTTGTCTGGTTTTGGTATCAGGGTGATGGTGGCCTCATAGAATGAGTTTGTGAGTTTTCTTCCCTCTGCTATATTTGGAAGAGTTTGAGAAGGATAGGTGTTAGCTCTTCTCTAAATGTTTGATAGAATTCGCCTGTGAAGCCTTCTGGTCCTGGGCTTTTGTTTGTTGGAAGATTTTTAGCACAGTCTCAATTTCAGTGCTTGTGATAAGTCTGTTTATATTTTCAATTTCTTCCATGTTCAGTCTCGGAAGGTTGTGCTTTTGTAAGAATGTGTCCACTTCTTCGAGGTTGTCCATTTTATTGGCATATAGTTGCTTATAGTAATCTCTCATGATCCTTTGTATTTCTGCAATGTCAGTTGTTGCTTCTCCTTTACCATTTCTAATTCTATTGATTTGAGTCTTCTCCCTTTTTTCCTGATGAGTCTGACTAATGGTTTATCAATATTTTTTGTCTTCTCAAAGAACCAGCTTTTAGTTTTATTGATCTTTGATCTTGTTTCCTTCATTTCTTTTTCATTTATTTCTGATCTGATCTTTTTGATTTCTTTCCTTCTTCTAACTTTGGTTTTTTTGTTTTGTTTTTTTTGGTCGTTCTCTAATTGATTTAGGTGTAAGGTTAGCTTTTGCTTGTCTATAAATGTTTTAATTTCTCTGTCAAATCTGAATATGATACTTGCTGGGTAGAGTAACCTTGGTTGTAGGTTTTTCCCATTCATCACTTTAAATATGTGTTTCCGCTCCCTTTTGGCTTGCAGACTTTCTGATGAAAGATCAGCTCTTAACCTTGTGGACATTCCCTTGTATGTTATTTGTTGTTTTTCCCTTACTGCTTTTAATCTTTTTTCCTTGTATTTAATTTTTGATAGGTTGATTAATATGCTTCTTGGCATGTTTCTCCTAGGATTTATGCTGTATGAGACTCTCTGTGCTTCTTGGACTTTATTGACTATTTCCTTCCCATATTAGGGAAGTTTTCATCTATAATCTCTTCAAATATTTTCTCAGTCCCTTTCTTTTTCTCTTCTTCTTCTGGGACCCATGTAATTCAAATGTTGGTGCATGTAACATTGTCCCAGATGTCTTTGAGACTGTCTTCAATTCTTTCCGTCCTTTTCTCTTTGTTCTGCTCTACAGTAGTTATTTCCAATAGTTTATCTTACAGGTCACTTACCTGTTCTTCTGCCTCAATTCTTCTGCTATTGATCTCTTCTAGAGAATTTTTAATTTCATTTATTCTGTTGTTCATCATTGTTTGCTCTTTAGTTCTTCTAGGTCCTTGTTAAACATTTCTTTTATTTTCTCCATTCTATTTCCAAGACTTTTGATCATCTTTACTATCATTACCCTGAATTCTTTTCCAAGTAGATTGCCTATTTCCTCTTCATTTGTTTGGT